ATTCATGTGTATGCTGCTTTCTGCACAGAGATGCATTACATCTACAAACAGAGCATACACTGATAGCACATGATACACTTTTGATGTTTGTTTCATTTCTGAGATAATGTTACAGAATGTTTCGGAAAATGAAGATTCCAGGACCACTTTAAATGTTTCGTTTACAATCGTTTCCCAATGACCGGGGATAGTACTGCCAGAACGCACAATAGCCAAAATGTCTTCTAGTTTACAAACTTCAGCCATTCTGTTTACACAGGGGTCACTACTCGTTCTGTTTTCAATCGTCCTCATCACCACACTTATTAAAAGGGTATTGACTACATTCTGATCAATATATACAGAGCGTTTTGCATGGTAGTTCCCCATTTTTATTTTACTTTAAAGAAAAAAGTCCCTGGCTTCAGTCAACTGCTGGTTATTAGTCTTCTTCTTCTCCCCCCCACTCGCATGGATCTTTTCAAGTCTCTCCTTGAGGCGTCTGCAGTTTGTGATTTTGAGACTTTTTACAGACACTCTGCAGATTTATGTGTAATTCTCTCACAAAGGAAACAGTAAGTCTCTTACTTTTTTTATATGTATGACAATTTACAACTGGTAGAAAGTTAAGTACTTTTTCTGACCAGATTTTTCTTTAAGACTGTAACTCTTAACACACCAGAGAGCCAAAACATACTCACCCGCTTTTCAACGCCCTCCCCCCAGCAGCTCAGGTGTGAAACCCTCATACAGAATGTCAGTCCCTGTGTAAAACTTTTTAGTGACACTCTGCAGATTTGTGTGTAATTCTCTCACAAAAGGAACTGTAAGATACACTTTTTATGTATGCAAAAACTGATAGAGGAGTCGGTATGTTAATGTGGCGACAAATGTTCCCCTTTCTGCTCTGTACACTGTTTCGATGAAACACAGCAGTCTTGATAACTTGACATGACTAACATTACTTTTCTAAAATATATGTTTTTAGACGCGTTACTTTGATTTCAAGGCTGTGATGGCGAGAGTTTAACAGTCAATGGCCTCAAGATGGTGCTCAAGAAGGACATTGTCATCCACCTTATTGATCAAGTGCTCATGCCAGACTCAGGTTAGACTTGCACATTTTCCCCTTATTAATGATTACCCGATTTACTACATATATTGTTTTTCTGTAATCCATATTTTTAATGGTGTTTAAATTCCCTCAAGCTAAACAGGTGATGGAACTGGTTGGAAGTTCCCCGTCAACCTTTGGAGACATGGTGTCTGAGCCAGGCCTTTCTGCTTCCATGCAATCTGCCGCTGAGTACACTTTGCTTGCCCCCTCAACACTGTCTTCAATGGTGAGTAACATACTGGTGATTCAAAAAAAAAAGCACGCCCCTATTTAGTTGATGGCTGAAGACAAAGCCTGGGTCCATTCTCTAGACTCTATTCTAGTCACATTCTGGAATAATTGGTGATATTTAGATTTGTTTTGTATTTACCCCTCATGTGCTGAGTCATTAGTCAATATGTGTAAATGTATGGAGCTTTAGGGAAGCTATACATTTATTGGCACACTGCAGAAGCTTTATGCCATGTAACAGCAAGTGTCCACTCCCCCCGAGAACATTCCTGGACTTCACCCAAAGGGAGTAGAGATGATTTGTTTTTGCATTAAGAACGACAGAGAACATTTCTCCAAAATGTCTAACTACTAATTATTGTCGTCTTTCTTGAAACTGACGTGCTTAAATTCTCTGAGAAAGTTACTGAAGGATACACTTTTGTGTATAAAAGCTGAAAAGTAGATAATGAAGTAGATTTCGTTAAGAATCTTTGACAGATTTATGCTTAAATTCTCTGAGAAAGTTACTGAAAGATACACTTTTGTGTATAAAAGCTGACAAAGTAGATAATGAAGTAGATTTCGTTAAGAATCTTTGACAGATTTATGCTTAAATTCTCTGAGAAAGTTACTGAAAGATACACTTTTGTGTATAAAAGCTGACAAAGTAGATAATGAAGTAGACTTTGTGTCCGTGTGAAACCCCATACAGAATGTCAGTCCCTGTGTTACAACTTTTTAGTGACACTCTGCAGATTTGTGTGTAATTCTCTCACAAAAGGAACTGTAAGATACACTTTTTTATGTATGCAAACGTCTTTCTTGAAACTGACGTGCTGACCGTTTTACAAAAACAAGTTATGTTTTCTGCTTTTTCATCCTCTGAATTTTCCTCCCCCGTCCCTCTTCCTTCACCCCTCACAACAACAAATCAAGGTGGATCTGTGAAATGAAACACCTCTTCCCAAAGCGTGACTTCCCTATTGAGGGCATGCGTCTAGGGCAGTAGGGTCTAATCGATTGACCAAATATACTAACATGCAGAACGTACGGTATGTTTTGAAAAAAGACTAACCATTTATCCAGTTAAAGCTGTCTTTAAGATGTGACATTGCGCACTGACTATTTCCCGTAAAATCGTGACAAACTATTACTTATTCTTAAATTTGATCTCTTGTTGCATGGTTGAAAATGATAGATGAAAAATAACTTTTTTAAAAGAGTCAAGTTTTTCATGATCAGATACAGGTCAAGAAAATGCATAGAGGAGGTATGGTGCTGGCTCATTAGCCCTCTCACTCTTCTTAGAATGATCCTGTGCAATTATAGTTAATAAAAGTAATTACACATTAGTTCACAAATCCATATACTGAAAGAGAATACCCTTAGGTATCACTATTAAAACCTAAATAAGATCTTTTGAAAATAACCTCTTTTGCAAAACAAATACTTCTTTAGCAGTTTCACAAAAACTTGAAAAGAAACATCCTGAACGGAAGAGGGGGTGAGTGGTGTGTGTGTGTGTGTGTGTGTGTGTGTGTGTGTGTGTGTGTGTGTGTGTGTCCTCCCCATCGCCCCACCATTTGTCCCGCAGAGGATGTCTGGGGGTTTTATGGTTCCCACACCTGTCTTGACTGTTCACCAAACTTTTCACGGCAGAGAATAGCAGAGAGCGAGAGAGAGTTAGTGAGATTGACAGTACTTTTAAAAATATATGGTTGTATATTTCTTGTTATTTGCAAGTATTTGTAAGTTACAGTCAATACTGCTGTATACAGGGGCACAGGAAGTGGTTAGGTGGCGGGGCCTTGCTCTTTAGAGTTGAGACATTACTTTTAAAATATATGGTTGTATATTTCATGTTATTTGCAAGTATTTGTAAGTTACAGTCAATACTGCTGTATACAGGGGCACAGGAAGTGGTTAGGTGGCGGGACCTTGCTCTTTAGAGCTGAGACATTACTTTTAAAATATATGGTTGTTACATTTCATGTTATTTTATTTTGAAAACCGGAAGCGGGGGCGACCGGTAGGGGCAGCATTTTTATTTTTATCATTTTTAAAATATTTTTTAATTTTATTTTTGAAAAACCGGAAGTGGGGGTGACCGGTAGGGGCAGCATTTTTATTTTTATCATTTTTAAAATATTTTTTAATTTTATTTTGAAAAACCGGAAGTGGGGGCGGGACTTCCGGTGGAAGGGGCGGGGCTTATGGGGCGGGACTTCCGGTGGAAGTGGGCGGGACTTCCGGTGGAAGTGGGCGGGGCTTAGCCGGAAGTGGGCGGGGTTTAGCCGGAAGTGGGCGGGGCTTAATAAGTAGGGAGAGGTGTGACCTGTCACTTTCTATGCATACTAATGAGACGAAAGTGGTATGTGTATAACTACTCATATGGTTTTACACAGTTTTTATGACCTGAAATTCACGTATTTAACAATTTAATCCTCAAAGTAATACAAGTCAAAATGTGTTAAAATGTAGTTTTCTTTACTATAATAGGATAGTCAATACCTGTGTTTTTTTCAGTTTATCAATGTAAAGTAATGGTTAAATTAAGCAAAATTACAAAATATTTCTTTCTTTACTCATATATTTTCTTGCAATTATAATTTTTTTTAATGAGTATTAACAGTATTTGTTATGTATTTGACAGTGATATATAGCCATAACAAAAGTATTTTTTAATAAAATTACAGAAAATGCGGCTAATATGCCAACAGAAAATCATTTATTTTTACGGTTAGTTTTGTTAAATTCGCATTTAAAAACTGCTAAAAAACAGATAAATAATATATTCCATTTCTACAATTTATTTTTGTTAAAATACATCACACATTTCAATAAACCGTTTATTCTTGTAATTTTAATATGATTTCCCGTAATTATGAAATACAATAAAAAAACTGTAAGGCATAGGACCTATAGGCATACACAATGACACCTCTCCAGCTACCATTCTGTGTTATCTTCCTCTCGGGTTATGAACGAGCAATCCCTGCCGTTCCCAAACCAAATCTGAGACTGAGCTACTGCCGCCCCCAAAATTAACACTAAAATTAGAAGTATATTCAAAATAAGATGTCATGCTTAGATCCACTTTTATTCAAAGACATAATGTTGCTGCCTCAACAAATATAGGAGGAAATACAGATACTGGGCTCTTTGCACATCCCTAGATAATTCTGATGGTGAACAATCTACCAGGTTAACAAACGTAGCCTATTAAAGAGCACCACTAACATAGCTATATAAACCATTAGTGAATCATGTCAGAATGGTGTAACCAATAACCAATCAGAATCATGATTTAAACTAAAACAATTAGCTCCTAGTTGTTATAGACTGTAATTATCCTCTAATGTATTGTTTCCCTGAAAATAGCTTGATTTTTTTGTATTTGTGCTGTTGTTCTAGAGATGCTAATAATTGAAGGATGGATCTCAAGGCACAGTGTGACTTATAATGTTTTTACCGAAAATAGAAACCAAACTTCTCTCTGGTACCAGAGGATCCCTGTAATACAGTAAAGTCGCCTCACACTGCTAATTTGCTTTCCCTTTATTTTTGTTTCCGATGGGCCCCTGCAGTTTGTCATCCCACTAGAAAATGTCAACCCCTTTTTTTGTCCTTCCTCCCTCCTCTCTTTTGGAAACTCGGCTGTGGTTGGAAAAAGTTCTGTTTTTCATTTCAGAGCCCCATGACGGGAGCTATAAGTCAGACACGAGCAGCAAGCCCAGGAAGGAGCGCACAGCCTTCACCAAAGAGCAGATCCGGGAACTGGAGTCCGATTTCGCTCACCACAACTATCTGACCAGACTGAGACGCTACGAAATATCCGTCAACCTTGACCTCACGGAACGACAAGTACGGTACCTGCTGAGTTACTCTGAATCAGTGTGAGGGCAGGGGGAAACAGAAGCAGCACAATGAGTATGCTCCAAGTCATGAAATACAACTAATGAGGTATTCATTTTGTAACGACTTGTATTCAAATCTGACACAAGGTTAAAGTTAACAAAGGCATGTAGTGAAATGCTCCCTCGAGGATAAAAAAAATCATCTTGAGGATTAAAAACACTTGACACAAATAAAATCAATAAATGGATACTTATGTCACGGGAGATGGCTGGCAGGCTTGGCATAATGAGACAAGACGAACTGGGACAGGAAATGCAGACTTTACATAGGCTACGCAGACTTAATATACGCAAGGTAAGGGGCAAAGGTGTAGACCAGTGGTCTGCAACCTTTTTGACCAAAAGAGCCATTTTGCTCCCTTTTCCAAAAAATTTTTTGTCTGGAGCCGCAAAACATATTTCATAGCTTGATAGCTTATACAGTTGTATTTATTGTTATATCATAGACAAAAACTACAGTTTTTTTGCATTTATTATTATACATTATATAAAACTGTTAACCTCTAATAAGAAACAAATAACTCCTATAAGGAGAATTACAAATAATACACAGGCCTACTTTAAAATAAATGAAACACAGCACTTGGGGAGTCCTCTGCACATTTGAAGGAAAACAAATATAATTAAAATGGGCCCACTTTGAAATAAATAAAACATATAGCTGCTCCCTAAAAAGAGTTAAAGGTAGGGTAGGTAAGAATGGAGAAACCAGCTCGAGTGCGCTAGAATTTGAAAATACAAAACCGGGAAAAATCTGCCACTTCCTTACAGAGCCCTTCCTCCAACACACACGAATGCGCACATGACCAATGAGTGCACGAGATAAGTTTGTGCACAGATGGAAGGCTGACAGGCAGGTAGGCCATCCAGTTATTTTAGCCGGGCCGGTGTAGGTACCATATGTGTTCGGCCTACCAGATGTGTTCGGGGTCCGTTACGCTTACCAATGACGTCACGCATTGGCTGAACGGCAACCCAAGAGGACATTTTACACGGCCAAATTCCGAATGTATTGAAACTCCAGACCCAACGTAAGAGCTTGAGCCTCTTCGGGGGGTGCTAACATTTAAACATACACTTCATTCTTTACTTTGTCCGAATATTCGGCCCGCGCGGGGGGGGGGGTAGTGATCAGCAGCGAACCGCTTCAACACGTGTATTTCGGTGTATTCACGGCATTCATTTTGTTATTCTACAGTATTGTTGTTTTATATTTATTTGTTAATGTAACCCAATTTGTGTTCTTTGAAATTGAAAAGGATATCGCATTGTGTTTGTTACTTTCGTTGCAGTTGTATATGTCTTAAGTGTAATTTGGCTTGGCTTCCTATTTATGGACATGCTTTTATTTTGAAGGAGAGTTAGCGCAGTTGACAGGAAGTTGTTGTTGCTATGGAAACAACGTGACGGAGATTAACGGAGAAAAGTAATATTTACATATAAAGACGGAGAAAGTAAACAATAACGTTTATGGTTAAGTGTTAGCACCCCCCGAAGAGGCACAAGCTCTTACGTTGATGTTGGAGATTTCAATAAATTCAATTTGAACAAAAAACGGGGAAAAAACAAACAAAACGAATATCCGAATAGTACTCCAACGAACGAATATTCGGATATTTGGGTACAGCCCTAGTTAGGGTGCATCAAATTTGAATGGGACATTTTAATTTCAAAATATCAATTTGGCTGGCATTGCATTGTGTTCCAATTAACATACAAATTACTTTTGCAAAGTTTTGAGGAATTCCATTGAGATTTAGGGGTGCCACCTAAGACATGAACTTTTGTGAAATTTTGAAAAATTTGCAATTTTTAGTCTAATTGCCAAAAGGTTGACCTGGAAATGTTGAGTACAGTGAACTTTTATAAAGTAACATGTTCTATTGGGTTATCAAAGTAAAAGTTGTTTGTTTGCCCTTTGGGCAACTTGGGCATTTCTCAGAATTCAACTTTCAAGATTCTCCATTCATTTGTCCTATAGACAAAATTAATGGAGCTCAATGGGACATGTTCACGTTACCCTGAGTTTTGTGCAGCAGTGATGGATGTCGGACACACATATAAAGTTTAATTGACTTTATTGTTAAACACAAGGGGCGATACTGACACACTTAAAAGAACAAACCCTAATTAAACTTCAAACTGAATTGCTCAGTCTGTGCCAGAGTCCGCGACACTGAGCAACATCACCAGGGAGAAAGAGAGAGGAAATGGAACCTGAACTCTGAACCTAGCCCGTGCGTCTTCCCCCAGATATGTCTCCTCACCCGCCACCCAAGAGTAACCGTCCTATCGCAAGCTTGCGATTAGCTTGCGATTAGCTTGCGATTAGCTTGCGATTAGCTTGCGATTAGCTTGCGATTAGCTTGTGTTTGCAGCGGCGAAGGTTTGGCTGTTGGCTGCGGTCATGTTCAACTGCCTGCAGCACATTCTGCAGGTGCTGCTCCTTCCTGGCCCCTGCGACGAAGTCGGACGTGAGCTTGACGCCACGCTCGGCACAGTCATTGACCACGTTCATTGCACATACATTGACCTCACTTTTTTTTAACGCAGCATTGGTCGCCCATTCCTTCACATCGAGAGACATAAATTCTGGATCCATGTGCAGCTGGTGCATCCCAAACCAGCAATCCTTATTGGCGAGATCAGCCAAGCTGGTGGTTGGCAAGAGGGTGGGGAACTTTGGCTTGCCAAAGCCAGTGCCAAAGCGCTGCTCAGGGATGTGCATGGGGAGATCGGCGGGCTTGTGCTCCAAGATCGCACTGGCAAGTGCACGCTTGTCCTCATTGGGCACCTTGCTGCTGAAGAGAGCCAGGGGTAGCATCTCACCTGTCAGATACCAGCGATGCCTCTCCAGTGCCTTGATCGCTGATGCTACAATGCCCTCATCTACAGCCTTGTATGCCTGCAGGTGGTGGTAGAGTGTCAGGTCATTCCAGGCAGCATCTACAGATTTCTCGCAGGTCAACCACCACTTTGCATAGATATGTGTAATGAAAATGGCAAATGCCTGAATCTTCGTCACCTGCTGCCATGTGGTAATTGTGCCCTGGGGAAGCAACGCGATGTGCTGCTTCATCAAAGCCAGCTTGAGAGTATAGAGCAGCTTGGCCATCCATCGTGCCTTGTGGAGCACTCCCGGTCGTTGGAAGGTCACTGCAGTCTGCTCTTCACCACCTGTATCCAGAAACACAAGACACAGCTGCACAAACTCACGGTAGTCACCTCGCTTGTGGTCAGTCACTTCTTTTGCGCACCTGACAAGTTCAGCACGTAAACTAGTGACAGTGACGTGAGCAGTTATGTGGAGAAAACACCCCAGATGCTTCGCAGTCGTTTCCTGAATGATAACAGGTCGCTTACTGTTGTGACCCGTTATCCCAGGTATACCCTAGTCAGCGCCCCTAGTTACACCAATCAGCGTGTGATTACCGTACAGCGAATCACAATGCGTGACATCATTGGTAAGCGACGGATCCCGAACACATATGGTAGCGCCCTGCCGACCCCTGGTGTAGACAATCATGGTCGGGTCGACAATCACATCGGCGGTAAAAAACACAAAGGCAGGAAGTTACGAAGCGAGAGTTTACTGCAAAAAATATAAAACAGGGAGTCACAAGAGCAGGCCCAGAATAACACGTGAACTAGAGAAATTAACTCAACGAAATGCCTGGACGACACAGGTAATGTGATTTATTTGTGTACCTTTTTTATACAAGTTACAGCACTGAAATACACCTATTTTTACTTCATAAGAGTATCCTAATATCTTTAATATAATTTGCATGAATAAACACTTGATCCATTAACGTTTTTAGAGATCAGTTATATATTTTACTAAACTGCTGTCGTACTTGGAATCAGATGGAATGATCAATAGCAGTTTTATCTCTGATCAGAACAGACATGGCCTGGTGTGGATAGCTATAAGAAAAAAGCTCATGTATGTATTGTATTATCTTTTTGCAAACAGATGCAAGATACAGGCATGTAGCATTTTTGTCCGGACTTTGTGTTAAGGCTAAACCTTAGCATCTCTCTGTAATTGACACAGAGATATGATGCTATATGTAGCATCTTCTTAACTGACTCCGGGAGAATCATGCCCTATAATATGAAAACATGGTTATGGTGAGGTGCACATGTTTTAGCTTTTTATGAGCAGAATCAAACTTTATAGTTTAAACATTTGACTTACATTACTAAACATTTAAAGTAATACATTTTTATTATACTCGTTTTCAACAATATATTATAGGTCTCAGATACAAAACATGTCCCTGAAGTGTTTGGCTGAAATACCAAACATCATTGTAGCATCCCATAAACCCCTCTGTTTCAGCCCTGTTCCAAAAGCACTGATTCTGCAGCTTTAAATGCTAATGAGCTGCTGCTGGCCACGCCTCTCTGAGAGATGATTGGCTTAAATAACACAATAGTGCTCTAGGAGGAGATTCAGGGGATAAGGTGGGCGGGTGTTACCTTGGTTGGTGATTGGCTATTGATTGCACAACCTAAGAAAACATTGTGACATCACAAAGTGGCCAAAATCTGATCAGCTCATTTTCAGACAGGTTTTTTTATAAATGGATCAGAACAAAAAGAGAGAGAATTATTTTTCCTGAAACTTTCAGAGTCCCTTAACATAGAGGGGACACATATTTACAAAATACATGAAAGGTGGATTTTGCAGAGGTGACCTTTAATAACGATTGCTTTATTTTGTCCACATTACACATTGATAAATAAGTGCAATGAGATCCATCCCTCTGAGGATAAGGCAGTTGATAATTGCCTTCAATAAAAAATGTTTCCAAGACTTCACAGGAGAAGAGCTCCAGAGTTGTGACACGAACAAACGGTTGTCGAGGTCATTTTAATGCTCTGAGGTTAATCCATTCCAAACCACAGGGACTCTTTGAAACGTCAGTGTGCTGCTCTGTC